AATTGCAAATTGCTTTTGATTGAAGAAATCCTTCAACCTATGATGAGCTAAAGGGCTCGAAATCCGGACAGTTGCAAAACAACTTACTGTGAGTAGGAACTATCTTTTTAAAAAGGAAATTCTCCACTGTCATTAAATTTGCAAGATTTGACAACCGAATCCTTTGGCCCTGTCTGGCTTTCAAAAGAATGAATCAACTTAATCGGAAACGGCGGCATATTTTTCCAGGACAGAAACACTTGGGAAGCGTCAGCACCGCGCGACATTTGACACATCCGCGTAATCATTATAATCACGGACCGCCCCGAGGATGCCGACGGCCCTCCATCCCGTGGAACACATGTTGTACATCTGCAGCCGGTTAAGTGTAATTTGATCCCCGAGTGGTCTACCTTGTACTTAAGAAGCGAATGCTCCCTTACATTAGCGTGTCCATAAGACGGCCTAATTGTCCCATCCTTGACCAATCTCTTCAACAAAGATCCTTGTTTCTCGGTACTCGTAGCGATTACCCGGGAGTTTTCAATTCAGTTCTTTCAATCGTTTTTGAGCTGATTTTTTTTTACCATTAAACAAAATCCTAAAATAAATTTGTGTTATTTCCTCAGCATTTGACGTAGAAGAAAGACCAATCATGACCGATCATGGGAGTATCTCTCTCTTATCGCCCATTTTATCAGGCCGAGTTAAAAGTTTCGCAATATTGTGAGAAGAGATAAAAGAATAGAATTGTTGCAGTTCCATGTTCTTGCACCCTGGATTATTGTGCACCTCCACTTATGGCTTATAGTTCCCTGTCCATCTTCATGCCTCCCAAGCCTAGATAGTGACTCCTCTGTTATATTTACTGTATCCGTCGTTTCCTTGTCCGACATTCACAGAAGAATGTACTAGGGGTATTCACATTGTTTGTTAGATGTTAACTCGCGTTAACTCGAATAGAGAAATGTCCAGTAAGATCGTGAACACCCCTTTCTTTTCTTAGCATGTTAAATGTTAATTTTTCGGCAATGCCGTGAGTGGCGACTGGTAGAACCAAAAATAAAGCTATAACAGTCCTTGAAGGCTTGTTGTTGTTTGCTATGGTTTTGTTTTGTGTTAAATTATAAGATGCTAAGATCTTACAGAAGTTAGTAAAAAAGGAAAATTAATCAACTCTTTCATTCGAAATGGTATCTATGCACTCGAAAACTACTAACAAATGGCACGATTCAATTCGTGCCGACATACCTAACCTGTATCGTAACGTCTAACAGCCTACTACTTTATAGGATAGGGGATGTATCTGCTATGAATGAGAGTATAAGGACAGGTCAGAAATTAACAAAAGAAGTGTATTGGTCTGATTTAATTAATGCGTATTTAAGAGTAAAAATACGTGTAAACTAAAAACAGCTGTTAAATTCATGGCTGCCAAGTTGGTTACCTACGCCATAACGGCTAGCAATGAGACTATATCGTCGATTTAACATCTAACATTGGCCCTACCCTGTTAGATCGAGCAATTTTAACAAGCCGATTCTTACAAGTCTACCTCATCATTTTTCTCGATCTAACACGACCTAACAGAGTTGACAGGCTAACACAAAGATCGCGAATACCCCTATTATCTTAAAATTAGTGCTAAACTTTTAAACGGTCTGATTTAATAAAACCTTATAAACTGAATTATTTTCTTTTCATGATTCTTTCATTATATCTTAAAAATATATTATTAGATCTCTGATTTGGTATAAACCGTCGTCAGGCGTAGAGTTGTGCGAAGATATACGTAAAAACGCAAATAGTATTTCTTTTTATAAAGTAAAAATGAACAGTAGGGGTATTCACGATGTTTGTAAGATGTTAACTCGAATAGAGAAATGTCCAATGTTAAAATGTTAAACGTCAATTTTTCCGCAATATTGTGCGTGGCGATTGGTAGAACCAAAAATGAAGGTATAAGTCCTTGAATGTTTGTTGTTTGTTATGGTCTTGTTGTGTTAAACTGTAAGATATCAGATGTTAGTAAAAAAGGAAAACTAATCAACTGTTCCAAGCACCATGCTATATGTGAACTCGAAAAGTACTAACTCAGAAATGACAAGCTTCTATTCGACATACATAACTTGTATCCTAACATCTAACAGCTTTATAGGATAGGGGATGTATCTAATATGCATGGTGTATAAGGACAGGCCAGAAATTAACAAAAGAATTGTATTGATCCGATTATTGGGTATTTACGAATAAAAATACGCGTAAACAAAAAAACTGCTAATAAATTCATGGCTGCCATGTTGGTTACCTACGCCCTAACGGCTAGCAATGTGACTACACCTTCGACTTGACACCTAACATTGGCCCCACGTTGTTAGATGGAGCAGTGTTAACTAGCCGATTCGTACATCATTTTTCTGGATCTAACACGACCTAATAGATTTAACACAAAGATCGTGAATGCCCCTAATGTTCAGTCTTGATGCTGTTTCTTAACGAAATATTTTGCCTGTCTCAGTCCAGCTGTTACACCAAGTTATGAGTCTTTAACTTGATCTTTAGGGAAATTGATCTTTGTTACCCTTCTGGCTTTCTTACTAGGAGACCCAGACTTTAATCCCTTTTGTTCTCCCTATTCCCAGAGCACTCACGCTATTAGTAGTTCCATACTATTCCATATTATATTAATATTACCTCAAAGAGGCCAATGTTTTGCGCGCAGCTTGGTTGTCATAAACATTTTTGCCTTCTATTCCCAGCCTTATCTTTTATAAAAGGATAAGAGAAAGAAGAAGTATATCTCAAACCCTGAATCTCATTCAGATTATGTGGCAGATATAGTGTTCATAGCTGAACTTAGAACTTAAGCTCATTAGCAGTTATTAACAATTTTGATTATCTTCCTGACAATTTCGTATAATTTATACTGTTTATAAAAAAAGACAATTGTGAAATGTGAGCGATATTATGTTAGATTGGAAGTTTTTTAATCCTAATTTCATTAGTTCTTCTGTAAATTCAACTGTAATGAAAGTCAGCAATCGTTGTTACCTGGGACGTGATGAAAGGCAAAGTTGTAAAAGAAGCGAAAGTAAATTGGATAAACCGTTTAAAAATCGTCGGTTTTGTTGGGAATAACGACTGAGGAGGTATATACAAGGGTATTTACAATAGAGAGTGGGTGCCCAAGTGACCATAAACACCGGGTATTATTACAATCCCATCCTTATGCCCTTGCACCTAATCAGAGTAAGGGCTCGTAAATGTTGTGGCCACCAGTAATCTATTTACTAATAAGGTCTCGTCGCGGGTTAAACGGTGATTAACCCGATCCGCTCCCTCCTTTACGACTACATATTAATTGTTTGGCCTGTAGGTGTCTCAAAAGCCATCTCGACTTTACAGCCGCTTTGTCTGCGATCACCGGCTAATAACAAACAGGAAACAAAAACAAGAAACCGGACCCGACAATGGCAAACCTATAAATGCCACGGATTGCCCACCTCGGCCGGTGTAATTAAGTACTTGCCGTTTATGCGTCACGTTTTGGCTCCTCGTAAAATCCCTCCTGATGTGAGACCGTTTTAAATTGGTTCCGTGTAAACCGAAATGATATTCCATCATTACTGGTCTTAAACATCTGGGTGGGCGCTTTGAAGAAGAGCTTTTCTCGAGTTTTTAATATTGAGAGAATACACATCAAACCACATAAGTTGGCCAACATCGAAACTGGGGTTCAAGTATCATTTGTGGACTCCATGTCCATAGAGAGCTAGATAGGTAGTCAGATAAAGCGAAATAGAAAGAGAAAGAGAAAGAGGGAGGGAGGGAGAGAGAGAGAGAGAAACGCGATAGAGTCAGGGTGAGTAGGACATAAAGAGAGAGGGAAGAGAGAGAGAGAGAGAGAGAGAGAGAGAGAGAGAGAGAGAGAGAGAATGTGTGAAAGGAAAGGAAGCTTTTCTTAGACTTAACAATAACGATAAATAGATAGATATGTAGATAGATAGATAGAGGAAGAGGGAAATAGAAAGAAAGAGAGAGAGAGAGAGAGAGAGAGAGAGAGATGGACAGATAAAGCAGGGAAAAGGGAGAAAGATCATAGAGATTGGGGGATGAGTAAAAGGAAGAGAAGAGAAGAGAACGGGAAAGAGAAGGAAGGAAAAAAGAAAGAAAGAAAGGGAGAGAGAGAGAGAGAGAGAGGCAGACAGACCGTCAGAGAAAGTAGAGAAAGAGTGAGAAAAAGATAGATATAGAGTGGCGAATGAGTCAAAGAGAGAGAAAAGAAGAAAGAAAAGAAAAAACAGGAAAAAAGGAAGAAAGGAAGAAAGAAAGAAAAAAAAGAGAGAGAGAGAGCGGGAGATATAAATAGAGATAAAGAGGGAGCAACAATGAGAGAGTGGGGGACCGATGAAAGGGAGAGAGAGAGAAGAAAGAAAGTGTGTGTGAAAGAGAGAGCGAGGAGAAGAAGGCTTAAGAAAAAGTAAGAACTTAAGGCTTAACTTAAGAAGAAAATATACAGATACTAGAAGTAAGTCACTGGAAGTAATAAAGTGACAGGGTTGTGCCACTATCTACATCCAGCTTTTAATCATGAACATAAGAAAAAAAGTTGTTCTTATAATATATGCATATACCATACAGCTTGTTACGCCTCTAAATTGGCCTATTTTTCTGTTCTTTGTACCATTACTGGTTTGGTCACGTATCAGCCAGTGTAAAAACAAACGTATTTCGCCCATAATTCACTACATTTGGGTGGCCCGAGACGGCCGTCTGGCAAATGCCAAAAAAATTATAGATAACAAGACTTGTTGTTATTTGCTGAGGTCAGTGGTGCGTGCTGAGAGCATTGCTAATTCATCAGTGGAGTAAATGTTCTCCAACACGAAACTCCCCTGTGAATGGACTGTCCATTCAGACCCACTCCCAGCGGAAGAGTTTGACGTTCGTTTTTTAGTTTCGACGATGTGCAAACAGCCCGTTTTAACATTTTTAACATGTTCTGTCCTTTTGTTTTGCAGTTTGAAACCCCCGCCGAAAGACGGCGTGACGAAAAGCAATCCTAGCAAGCGGCACAGAGAAAGACTGAATGCGGAGTTGGACACCCTGGCCAACCTCCTCCCCTTCGAGCAGAACATCTTGTCCAAATTGGACCGGCTCTCCATCCTTCGGCTGTCAGTAAGCTATTTAAGAACGAAGAGCTATTTCCAAGGTTAGTATGAAAACATCATAAACTTCACCTTTGGCAATGCACACAAATAAGCAGTAAATCTGAAAAAACCACATCACATGATTCTAACTGAAAGATTTGGTTTCATTTTATAAGAAGTTTCGTTATTTTCTTTGGGTCCGTCTAGTTTCGTTAAATATATTAATAATAAATAAGAAAGCCGATTAATATCTAAATACGAAGGATTTTTACCATGCTTTAGATGAGATGCTACCTGTCTTTATCATGACGTGAGATTCAACGAACAATTAAGAGAGATCGACTTGGCATCGAGAGTATGATCTGTGACCATTATCAGATTCATTGAGTTTTTTATGATTTATAATGAGCCAGCAAAATTAACCTTTGGAGAATTGAAAGTGTTTTGCATAAAAGTTTCCCAACAGCCCGGCTATAATTAAATGAAAAATAACCGGGACGGTAGCCCGCGTGGGTGAGAGATATGGTCCGCAGATACGACAGCCAGGAATGACAATTACCGTGGTTTACCAACTCTCTGGCAATTACAATATCTCCGGCGCAGATCTCACACCTGGTCACGTGGGAACGGAACACTCCCCCTAACAGTTTCCATTCATCCGGATAAAACACACAGACGCCGTTCGCTCCGCTGTTATATGTAAATTATCCTTGGCCAATCGTTGGTAAATGTGAAAAACGCGGTGCCGGACACGTGTGGTTTTCACATTTATTTTTGTTGTAATGTGTGAAATTACTATGGATCCAAGACGGAGCTAGTGGCGTAATGGTGAAACGGCCTATACCTCCACACATGGTGGATGACCACATTCTCATCTCAAAAATTGGTGTCGATTGTAAGATGGTGCGACATAAGTTTTAAGCAGGGCGAAGCAAGATCATTGCTTGTTCGGTTCGCAGTATAAAGTAAATCTGATAAAATTAATGAACGTACTGGGATTATGCTGAAATATTACCTTGGCTTAGAGAAACATGCTCGGGCACACATTTACTGATAAAATTATTGAGGTTGGGTTTAAGGTTTTATACATACAGTTTTGCTACGTAGAGGATATAGACAGGGAGAGGCAGAGTGAAACATAAGTAGGCTAAATATACAGCCTTGAGAAACACCAGGCCGATCGAATCATTGAGCATCTTGATGAATTACGGGTTTCTCTTATATTTTTGTTAAATAGTAGAGTCCTTAAGCAGGGATAGAAGAGGTGGGCCTCAGAGGTTCTGCAGTTCGACCAAAATAGATCTATGATTTTCCTCTAATTTTGATACACCTCACTAGTCGACTTTAGACTCATAATCAGGTTTCATAAGTAACTAGTGTTGTTGTGCGGCTTTTCCTCACCTAATAGCAACCCATGCCTTGGATGGACCCAACAGTAAACCAGTAAATAACTCGTCGTCTCTTTTTCTTTTTGGCAAAATTTGCACAGCGTTTCTTATGCCAGAACTGCATATCTTTCCAGGCGACAGTTTTCAGCCAAGAGATTTACCAGAAACCGAATTTTATTTCTGTTACCCTTTGTCCTTGTTTCCTTGGGGTGTTGGTCTACCGGGGTTTGAACTATCCATGATCAGTTTTTGATTTATACCTTTTTTTGGAAAATGGTTAGGGTTTGGGGCCAGAAGTAAACACATTGTATGTCTGCCTGCTCATCACCTCTGTGTGTGCGTTTGTAAACTAAACACCTTGTGATGGAAATATTCATAAATGTCTCCTGGATTTTTTCAAAAAATGAACTCACTTTTAACTAGTCTTCGGCGAATCATAACAATTTTATAGTTTTCAAATATAATTGCTAGAAGGATGACATCAATATTTCAGCTCGCGATCGCTATAATACACGCTTAACAATTAAATTTTTGCTTTTTAATAAGTCATCGTGATGCAATACACCTTCTTTTATTCTGCTTTGGAACTTTCTCTTCCCAGATCGTACAACATCGCTATTTCGAGGTTTTTATTGATTTGTTATAGAAAAGACAGTCCGGGAGCTTTAGACAATATAAATAAGTAAACTTTTTATGTAAGGCTTTTGGTTGAAATGAAAAAGTCGTTCCATGAGCGGGATTCGAACCCACGACCTTCGGCTAAATACGCCGCTACTTGGGATATCGTGACTTCTATCTACTCGGACATCAACTCCCCATCTCAACCTACAACCTTTCGAATTTTCCCTCCTTTTTGCCATTTTTCAAATGTCATGTAATCAGGAATCGGATTCTCGGCGACATATGAAGTGGCCATGGGCTATTAGATGTTAGTGAAGTTAAACTCCGTTTTACTTAGTTTATTTAGTGGTCTATTGACCAAATTACTTCTTTCAATTAATTAATATTTTTATGAAGGTTTGAAAAATGGCAAAAAGAGGGAAAATTCGAAAGGTAGGTGGAGATGGGGAGATGGTACTCAAGTGGATCGAAGACACGATAGCTCAAGTGGTAGAGTAGCGGCGTATTTAGCCAAAGGTTGTGGGTTCGAATCCCGCTCGTAGCACTGACTTTTTCATTTCAACCAAAAACCTTACGTTAATTGAAAAAAATAATTTGGTCAATAGACCACTAAATATAATGGATTTAATGTAAATAAGGATATAATTATCTCTACTTTATGAAGGATTTAATATTGTTTAAATATGGAGTGGATAGAATCAGTGGATTGGCTTTTTCTAAATAACTCAATCATGCCGGCAGTATTCATCATGGCAGCTTGAACCTGCCTGTACCGCATATTTATGAAAATCGTGAAAAGGCTTATTCTGCATAATTTTAATATTAAATATTCCTTGGGCAATTAGCGAGGTCACAGTTCTTAGAGGGCGGGACAGACAGCACCTGTTCCAACACATGTCCCACTGATAATTAGGTATAAACCTGGCTTTCTTTCAGCCCAGTAACCCGTTTCTGCTTTTTTTTTGCCTAAAATAACCATTATGCTCCCTAATAAACCATTAGTATGCTACACCACCGGAGGTCGTTACAGTTTAACATTAATAATTATTTAATTGTTACTCATCATACATAAAAAGTCTAATACGGCATTAAAACACTGTCAGCGTAAAACAAAAAAAGACTTCCCGGCCAAGGTCAAACAGCAAGGATTGGCGGACCCCGATATCGGCAGTGATCAAACAGAAAGCACTGTTTCTTGTCCAATTAAATCCAACGTTTTTCGGTCATATTTGCAGTTTATAAATGTATCTCTTCCGATTAAAACTGTTATACTATCGGGTTGTCCGGAAAATAATGCAGGATTTTAAGTTTTCATTAAAAAAAATCTATATAAAATATTCTGTTTACGTTTACAGGATTACTCATTTGTATGAATGTCAACACTTATTAATCCTCTTCCAAATGATATTGTTTGTTTACCTCTGTAGCATTCCGCTACTTGGAAATAATTCAGTCATCCTTATAATGTCAAAGCGAGAATTTCGTACGATTTTCTTTTACGAGTTTAAACTCGGCCGAAGCGGAGCCCAAACGGCTAGAAACATTAACCAAGTCTGGGGCGAGGGTTGTGTTAATGAGTGCACTGTGCAAAGGTGGTTTAAAAAATTTCGGGAGGGAGATTTCAGCCTTGAAGACGAAGAAGGTCGTGGAAGGCCTTCCTCTCTTAATGATGATGTTCTGCGATCAGTGGTGGAAGAAAACCCCAAAACAACTGTTCGAGAACTTGCAGAGCAACTCAAAGTCAGTAAAACGACCGTCGCTGACCACCTCAAGGCGATTGGAAAAGTGAAAAAACTCGAAAATTGGGTTCCACACTCATTAAACGATCGCCAAAAAATCAGCGCTTTGATGTTTGTGCATCACTTCTTTGTCGAAACAAAAATGACCCATTTCTGGCCAGAATTGTTACATGTGACGAAAAGTGGATTCTCTACGATAACACTAGACGTTCTGGACAGTGGCTCGACAAAGGAGAAGCTCCAAAGCCCCCAACTCATCAAAAAAAGGTAATGGTTACGGTATGGTGGGCTTCATTTGGTTTAATACACTACAGCTTCTTAAATCCTGGCGAAACCATCAATGCTGAATCATACTGTAACCAAATTAATACCATGCATCAGAAATTGGCAGTAATGAAGCCCTCTTTGGTCAATCGGAAAGGGCCCATTTTGTTGCATGACAACGCTCGACCACATGTGTCACGTGTAACGTCACAAAAATTATTGGAGCTTGGCTATGAAACTTTGCCTCACCCACCCTACTCTCCGGACCTCTCGCCTACTGACTACCATTTTTTTAGACACCTGGACCACTACTTACAACACATAATATTCAAAAATCAAACGGAACTGGAAAATGCATTTATTGACTTTATCAATTCTAAAAATTCTGAATTCTACTCAGACGGAATTAATAAGTTACCAACACGTTGGGAGAAATGTATTGAGAGTATGGGAAATTATTTTGATTAAAGAACATTGCTTTAAAGTAACTAGTTTCTTTTTTTTTGTTTAATACCAAAATCCTGCATTATTTTCCGGACAACCCAATATCATGCTACATCATTTAGTCTTGTGAAAGACAATAGAATAACAACAGCAAGTAGGTAACTAAGATGATCAGGATTAATTAACCACCTTGGGAAACACATCGATAAAATTATATAATTTCTGCACAAATTCTGCTTTTCTCTAATTATCTGGTTTTATTTCTCTGTCTTAATAATATTAAATATGGCCAACCTGGAGAATTATTTAATAAATTCTGGAACGTTTAAACAAATATATACCTTTGTCTGGCAACATTTCCCTGAGTTTAGAGGTAACATAATCAGGCTCAACGGGCAGCCTTGGGAAACACCATTCGGAAAAACTGCAGGACTTGATATCCTCATGCTTTCTTATATGAGTATGAACATATCTAAGGAGTTATATGTATGACGAGATTTAATAAAAATCTTCAAAAAACACCGTACTATAAAATAAAATAAAAATAGAACAAACATAATTTTTCTTTAATAGTCTAGGAAGTATAATCTAGCCTAGAACAGTATG